GCTTATCAGCAAACCCACTCAGACAGTCCACTACATTAAATTCAACACATTACACAGTCATTACCCTGCATTTAGTAAGATACAAGCACAGAAATGGAAACTGACCTTCCTCTCTTGCGTGTCAGTAGTAAGTAGTGCTAAAATGAATATCATTGTTACACAGAGCGTCCACATGTCCACACACAGGCCTGTGATAGTCAAAGTGTCAGTGTGCTGGCAGGTACAGGAGAATCTGTAGGTGGCTCAAATCCCCTGAGGTAAAAGTTGTAGAACAGCTGATCAGCCCTGAAACAGCTGAATCACCAGAGCGAACACAATCTATTCCACCTTAAACGCATGAGCGCTCTCAGTCACTGTCTCAGTCTTACCTGCACGCATGACTGAACAGTGATTTTACTTCATCGCCTGTTATTTGTGGAAGCTCTACTGAAACACATCAAACTGAGTTCACAAGCTTTTCAGAACACTTGACCTTTGACCTTGACTTTAAGGTTGTGGCCTGTGATATCAATTTAAAAATCCTGGGTCACGATGTTCTCGAGAACGTCAGTGAGGCCCAGCAGTGATAGTCTGGTCATGAAGTCTGACTCACAGCAGGTTAAAGGCTGTTACACACCAGACGTGCTAATGCATCCACACCAGCCTCCACCTCTGCTGCTGCTCCACCCACACAGCTGAAGACAAGCAGCATCATCGTCTCAGCTGAATACAGCACCTGCAGAGAGGGAGCAGCAGAGTTATGATGAGTCTTAACAAGCCTCCTGACAGCCTTCATATTAACCAAGAGTTTGACCGTCATCATCATCATCATCTGGAGTTAGAGCTGGATCCAGTGCACTGAGCTCCAGGAGGACTTTAACTTGGACCGTGTGATCAGCTGACCTGAGGTTTCTTTCTGATACACCCTGTACAACATATCAGACAGTAAAAGGATAACACTGGTGTTTTTTTACACAACACTTTCATTTAGACGGGGAGACTAGAAAGTGATCTGCTCTGTAACCTCCTGAGCCTCAGCCAACAACACATTAGCACATGTAACAGGAGCTGCTTTAGTTTTGTAACTGCTTTCACACACAAACAGTTACAGTGTGGATCATGTGCAGTTGTTGACCAGTAATACTGAAGAGAATCACCCTGTTAAAGGAAACATAAAGCAGTTAGCTCCAAATTAGCTCCACAGCAGCACTTGTTTACTCAGCACTCCCACACAGCCTTCAATAAATGTTAAGACTTGAATCACTTTGGTTTCCACTCCTGAGGTGAACTTGGTTTCACTGTTAAGTAACTGCTCTGCTTTGTATATATATATAAATAACAGTTCTCTGCTTTGTGCTGAGAATACACTGTTGCTTCTACAAGCCACACAGTCTGAGAGCAGTGAGCATGAACCAACAGATGGGGCCCAGCAGGAGAACAATGAGCTAAAATTAAATTAATCTGAATCACAGTTTTACAAACTCTGTGTTTTAAATCTAAATGCAATGATTTGGAAATCTCATAAAGTCACAACAGAGACGGACTCATCTTGGACTCTCTGCTCCCGTGCAGTAAGTGTAGTTACTACATGTCAGGGAGTCTGTCTGCCTGCTGAGTCAATATGATATCAGTCTGTGATTGACTGGGATCAGTTTGCAATGCATCAATGTATTTCCCCCAAACCTATTGGCAATAACTCTAATTTTAAACAAAGACATAGCGGGTGTACCATTTCTGATAGCAACACCGCAGGAGAAATGCCAGCACAGGCATCCAGTATCCGTAGTTTCAGGTGCTGCACATCTCGTATCTTCACACCATAGACAATTGCCTTCAGATGACCCCAAAGATAAAAGTCTAAGGGGGTCAGATCGGGAGACCTTGGGGGCCATTCAACTGGCCCACGATGACCAATCCACTTTCCAGGAAACTGTTCATCTAGGAATGCTCGGACCTGGCACCCATAATGTGGTGGTGCACCATCTTGCTGGAAAAACTCAGGGAACGTGCCAGCTTCAGTGCATAAAGAGGGAAACACATCATCATGTAGCAATTTCAAATATCCAGTGGCCTTGAGGTTTCCATTGATGAAGAATGGACCCACTATCGTTGTACCCCATATACCACACCAAACCATCACTTTTGTTGTTCCAACAGTCTTGGAGGGATCCATCCAATGTGGGTTAGTGTCAGACCAATAGCGGTGGTTTTGTTTGTTAACTTCACCATTCACATAAAAGTTTGCCTCATCACTGAACAAAATCTTCTGCGTGAACTGAGGGTCCTGTTCCAATTTTTGTTTTGCCCATTCTGCAAATTCTGTGCGCCGATCTGGGTCATCCTCGTTGAGATGCTGCAGTAGCTGGAGTTTGTAAGGGTGCCATTTGTGAGTAGCTAATATCCGCCGAAGGGATGTTCGACTAATGCCACTCTCCAGTGACATGCGGCGAGTGCTACGCTGTGGGCTCTTGCTGAATGAAGCTAGGACAGCCACTGATGTTTCTTCATTAGTGACAGTTTTCTTGCGTCCACATTTTGGCAAATCCAACACTGAACCAGTTTCACGAAACT